CCAAAGTGCTGGGACTACAGGTATCAGCCACCGTGCCCAGCCTGGCTAACTTAAAACATTTTTTTTTTTTTTTTTGGAGACGGGGTTCTCACCATGCTGCCTAGGTAGATTTCAAACTCCTGGGCTCAAGCGATCCATCTGCCTCACAATCCCAAACTGACCTCATTTTAACTTAATCACTTCTTCAAAGACCCTATCTCCAAATACAATCACATTCTGAGGTACCAGAGGTTAGGACGCCAACTTACACATTTTTGAAGGAGGATGCAGTTCAGTTCATAATAGCAGTGATGAGCTTTATGGCTTCTGAAAAAGACATACTTCCCCAGGTGGATTCATCTCTTGGTGGTTTTGTTTGTTTGTTCTGAGACAAAGTCTCACTCTGTCACCCAGGCTGCAGTGCAGTGGCATGATCTTGGCTCACTGTAACCTCCACCTCCCGGGTTCAAGCAATTATCCTGCCTCACCCTCCCGAGTAGCTGGGATTACTGGCACCCACCACCATGCCCGGCTAAATTTTGTGTTTTCAGTAGAGATATATTGGCCAGGTTCAGTAGAGATATATATCGCCATATTGGCCAGTCTGGTCTGGAAATCCTGACCTCACTTGGTCTCCCAAAGGGTTTTTTTTTTTTGGTTTGGTTTTTTTTTTCCTTTCGAGATGGGGTCTCGCTCTGTCACCCAGGCTGGAGTGCAGTGGTGCCATCTCAGCTCACTGCAAGCTCCGCCTCCCAGGTTCACGCCGTTCTCCTGCCTCAGCCTCCCAAGTAGCCGGAACTACAGGCCCCCTCCACCAGGCCCGGCTAATTTTTTGATTTTTTGTGTTTTTAGTAGAAACGGGGTTTCACCGTGTTAGCCAGGATGGTCTCAATCTCCTGACCTCGTGGTCCTCCCGCCTCAGCCTCCCAAAGTGCTGGGATTACCGGCGTGAGCCACCACGCCTGGCCCCAAAGTGCTTTCAAAGTCTTAATTCAAAACTATGGCACAATCCCACACCACTGCTCAGAACCCAGGGAGCACTGGGTTTGGTTAATTCCTTCTTCCACACCCAGAGTAAGTTTTCTCAGCTCCATTCCCCAAATGACGCTGACTTGGGGCAGGGGAAGAATGCTTTGGTAGCTCAGGGGAAAGGACTGTGGAGTTCCTGCCTTTTCCCCTTCCAGGATCCAAGGGTGCTAGAGACCTTTCTGTGTTCCTGGTCAGAACTGAGGAGGAAGAAAGACCAGGAGCCACAGCTCTTAGTCATCTCACAGGCAAGAAACATCCAACAGAGGCCAGCTACTGCGGGGCACACTGGACCACATCATTTTTGCCAGTGTCCTGGAATAAGGAAGTGAAGGAAGGCAGACCGTGGGGCTCCTCCCGACCATGCTCATCAGGGCACCCAGGTGAGGGGTGAAATTGTCCTAAAGGCTTCCCAGAACTCACACACATGTGTCCCCACCTCTCCCTTCCTTGATCAGGTCTCCATTTTAGGTATTTACTGATCATCTTATGCTATTGTTAAAGTCGAAGCTGAGGGGTGAAACCACAGCAGAAAGCAAGGAACGCTCAACCCCAGATCACGGAGGAAGAGGTGGACAGAGAGCATGGTTCCGCCCATTTGCAGCCATTTCTGGGCCTCTAGGCTCTGGCGGCTCCTGGGATCGCTGTCCTCGGTGCTGAATACACGTTTGTTAGGGGCGCACCTGACAAGTTTGTCATTCTCAGGGAAAATCCAGTCTCTTGGTGCTGAGAAGAAACCATGGCACAGCCCTTCTCAGTTCTCCAGCAACCCTGGACTCCGCAGGAGAACAGACAGACTCCCTACATTTGTTTCTGTGAGAGAAAGGAAGGCTGGAGCAGGGAGTGGGGGAAATCTCTGCAGTCCTCTCGGAAAGCAAACCCTTCCACACCTGTGATCCCACGCGATTTAGCAGAGCCCTGAGTTAAAACTAGGCCATTGCTGGGTGTGGTGGCTCATGCCTGTAATCCCAGCACTTTGGGAGGCCGAGGTGGGCAGATCACAAGGTCAGAAGATCGAGACCATCCTGGCTAATACCGTGAAACCCCGTCTCTACTAAAAATACAAAAAATTAGCCGGGTGTGGTGGTGGGCACCTGTAGTCCCAGCTGCTGGGGAGGCTGAGGCAGGAGAATGGTGTAAACCCAGGAGGCGGAGCTTGCAGTGAGCCAAGATGGCGCCACTGCACTCCAGCCTGGGTGACAGAGCGAGACTCCGTCTCAAAAAAAAAAAAAAAAAAAAAAAAAAAAAAAAAAAAAAAACTAGGCCATGATGACGCTTAGTGACACAAACATCTGACAAAAGAGCTGTACCCTTTATATTTTCAAAGGCTTCCTACAAATTAAGGGAGGCAGAAGACCCATTTAATGGGCAATGGACTTGAAGAGACATTTTACCAAGAAGGATATCCAAATGGCCACACACACACACACACACACACACACAAATAGGAAGGTGTTCAACTTCATTAGTCATTATGGAAATTAAACCACAAGGAAGTATCAAAACACTGCAGCAGCATAACTAAAATGGAAAAGATAAACAACCAACTATTTGCAAGTATATGGGGCAAATGAAGCTTCCTCACATTGCTGGCAGGATGGTAACCTGGGAAGCTGCTTTGAGAAATGGTTTGTCAGTAACCATGAAAGCTAAAGGTACATATATCATCACTGAGCAATTCCACTGCTAGGCAGACACCTGAGAGAAAGAACTTTCTGTGTGCTCCAAAAGACATGGACAGAAATGTTCATGGTAGCTTTATTTATAGGAGCCCAAAACTAGAAATACAAAATGTTCATGAAGAGAGGGATGAAACAATAAATTGCAATACATTCATATGATAAATACTACACAGCAATAAAAATAAAAACACACAGCATGGATCCACACTTCATCCACAGTGTTGAGTGAAGAAAGCCAGGATCAAATAACTATATACTGTATAATTCCCCTTAGAGAAGGTTCAAGGACAGACTACACTAATTTACGGTGATAAAGATCAGGAGACTGGCCACTCTTGGGGAAGGCGGGTACAAACTGGAGAGGAGGCAGGAGAACCTGCTAAGATGCAGAAAATTTATTTTTGAGACGGAGTGCCCAGGCTGGAGTGCAGTGGTGTGATCTCGGCTCACCACAACCTCCGCCTCCTGGGTTCAAGCGATTCTACAGGCATGTGCCACCACACCCGGCTAGTTATATATTTTTAGTAGAGACGGGGTTTCTCCATGTTGGTCAGGCTGGTGTCCAACTCCCTACCTCAGGTGATCCGCCCGCCGTGGCCTCCCAAAGTGCTGGGATTGCAGGCGTGAGCACCAGGCTATTTGAGACAGAGTCTCACTTTGTCACCCAGGCTAGAGTGCAATGGCACGATCTAGGCTCACTGAAACCTCTAGTTCCCGAATTGAAGTGATTCTCCTGCCTCAGGCTGTCGAGTAGCTGAGATTACAGTCATGTGCCACCATGCCCGGCTAATTTTTGTATTTTTAGTAGAGATGGGGTTGCATCATGTTGTCCAGGCTGGTCTTGAACTCCTGACCTGGTGATCTGCCTGCCTTGGCCTCCCAAAGTGCTGGGATTACAGGCGTGAGCCACCATGCCTGGCTATTTATTTTTGGAGACGGAGTTTTGCTCTGTCACCCAGGCTGGAGTGCAGTGGCGCGATCTTGGCTCACTGCAACCTCCACCTCCCGTGTTCAAGCGATTCTCCTGCCTCAGTCTCCTGAGTAGCTGGGATTACAGGCATGCACCACCACATCCAGCTAATTTTCTTGTATTTTTAGTAGAGACAGGGTTTCATCATGTTGGCCAGGCTGGTCTTGAGCTCCTGACCTCAGGTCATCTGCCCACCTTGGCCTCCCAAAGTTCAGGGATTACAGGCGTGAGCCACCGCACCTTTCAGCCCACACAATGAAGGTTTATGAAGCCCCAGATTCCAGGGCCTCCACCACGACTCCCTCTCTGCCACATTTCTGGTCCCACTGGGGACTGTGGTCCCTGCCCACTGGACCCAGTAGGTGTAGGTGTGGGGGTCTGGGCCCAGCGGGGATATACACCTTAGTGTCACAGAACTCGGGGTCTAAGCCTGTATCCTCAGATCCACGACCTGACCGGGCAAGGAAAGGAAGGGAAGGGGGTCAGGGTTCCTGCAGGAAGGTTCTCTGAGTGGCCTTTAACAGACCCAGTTGTCTCTTACTTGTAGTTCTCAAAAGTAACTGTAGAATGTGCTGGGAATGCAACATCCCGAGATACGGAGGGACCGGCCAGGCAGCCTGGGCTCCATTCCCGCCTACCCTAGAGACACAATGCCCTTCAATGCTTGAGCCCAGTGACTCAGGTTTCACCCAGAGTAGAAAACCCAGGGCTGGGTACTTTTTGGGGTCCCTCAACTGCCATACAAGTGAGACACACACAATTGTGACCCTATCCTGCCTAGGCCACTTTCCTAAGCCTTGGGGGATCCGCTCACAATGGATCCTGTCCCTTGCTGCCCATCTGTGAGGAACAAACCCACTTCACGTAACTTTTTGCATGTGTGGCGTTCTGTCTCATCGGGCTCTGGTAAGTTGGTAACCAGTGCACAGGGAACGTGCTTCACAGACCACACGCCATAGTCCCCGGGCCTCCAGAGCCAAGGGAAGCATCCCCTCCTTCCCACAGCCCTTCTTGTTATGGAGGCACACACCCTATCAGTGGAGCCCAGAAGCCAGAGGCCTTACTCCCCAAGCCCGGGGTGCTCTCGCCCCTCTTACCTGTGGCCTCTGTGAGCATCTGGCCGGGGCTGTTGACCTCATGCTACTGCGCCCACATGCTGGTCCCTGCAGTCAGGCCCTCCACAGGCACCCTGATGTCTGAGGAGTCACTGGCCCAGTGGAGCCAGTAGGGGCAGGTCTTGGGGTCTGGGCCTGTAGGGGCCTCAGGGTGAGGGAGCTGGTGGTCTGAGCCTGCGTGACCAGGCCAGGGACTAGTTTGGGAATGTGGAAAGAAGAGTCATTTGATGAAGTTTGTTTGTGGCTCTAATCATGAGAATAAAGTGCACAGCCTGGCACTTTTTACAAATGTGCAAACACACACACGCACGTGCACACACAGGCACACACGCACATGTTGCTGGACGGTGGACAGGTGGTCCCTCTTACCTGTGGACATGCTCAGGACGTCCCTGGGGCCACCTATTCCTTTCCTCTCGGCCCACACAGAGAAGGTGTAGAGGGTCTCAGGCTGAAGTCCCTCCACCCCTAGCCAGCAGTCTGACGTGCTTGTGTTCCCGCTGGTCATGCCCGCCCCCGGACCCAGTAGATGGAAGTCTGCAGGTCTGGGTCCTTGGGGCTGCCCAGCTCAGGGTGATGGAGCTGGAGGTCCGAGCCTCCGCACTCAGGATTCTGACTGCCTTGGGGGCTGAGACATGAGGAGAAGGCTCTGTGGTGAACAGAAGAGGGAATCCCACGGCCCTTCCTAGACGTGCAGGATGGAGGCTGATGGGGTCACTAACCTGCTGCTGTGGCCTCTGTCGTCCAGAGGGCCTGGGGAGGGACCAGACAGGGAATCAGACCCAGGGGTGGTCTGACCTGCAGGATCGGAATGAAGGCTGCTGAGTCCCACCCCACCTCATCCCCACCAGCCACCCTGACTTGAGAGGGAAGATGGAGACGGCGTTTTGCTCCTTGCCCCAGGTCTGGGTCCTGGCAGGGCTGGAAGGAGCCTGAGGGGGATGTGCACAGCGCCTCTGAGAGCTCTGCTTTAGAGAAACACGAATCAGACTGTGAGAAAGCAGACCTTTGAAAAGTCAGACGAAAGGTCGTCCGGGGGCCAGAATCAGGGAGGAGAGACAGGATGCTGGGGCTGCGGGATGCTGACAGGAGGGCAGCGTCCTGTCGCTTTGGACAGCCACGTCTGCAGGCCCCATGCACCCCTGGCATCTGCACACCCAGAGCCCCGTCCCTCCAGCTGCACTTTCCTGTGGAATTTCCTCTTTCCCCGCCTTTCATCAGGTCTGAGTGGACAGGAGGGTAGGAGATGAGGAGGAAGTGGAGGTTTCAAGCCTGCGTGCAATTCTTCAGATCCTCCTCACGCCTGACTCTTACTGAGGGAAATCCCTCAGCTTCTACTTCTCCTCACTCCAACTGTGGATTCCTGTCCTCACTTTCCTTCCTGGTCCCTGTCCTCCAGGATCCCCACCTTCCCTTCCCACCTCTGTACTCTCACATCCGAGAGTCCCGAAATGCAGGTCCTGGATGGAGAAGTCGCCTCTCTGCTGTAAGAGTCTCTAAATGCTGACCATGGATGGAGAAGTCGCCTCTCTGCTGTAAGAGTCTCTAAATGCTGACCATGGATGGAGAAGTCGCCTCTCTGCTGTAAGAGTCTCTAAATGTTGACCAGGATGGAGAAGTCGCCTCTCTGCTGTAAGAGTCTCTAAATGCTGATCATGGATGGAGAAGTCGCCTCTCTGCTGTAAGAGTCTCTAAATGCTGACCATGGATGGAGAAGTCGCCTCTCTGCTGTAAGAGTCTCTAAATGTTGACCAGGATGGAGAAGTCGCTTCTCTGCTGTAAGAGTCTCTAAATGTTGACCATGGATGGAGAAGTCGCCTCTCTGCTGTAAGAGTCTCTGAATGCTGACCATGGATGGAGAAGTTGCCTCTCTGCTATAAGAGTCTCTAAATGCTGATCATGGATGGAGAAGTCGCCTCTCTGCTGTAAGAGTCTCTAAATGTTGACCAGGATGGAGAAGTCGCCTCTCTGCTGTAAGAGTGTCTAAATGCTGACCATGGATGGAGAAGTCGCCTCTCTGCTGTAAGAGTCTCTAAATGCTGATCATGGATGGAGAAGTCGCCTCTCTGCTATAAGAGTCTCTAAATGTTGACCAGGATGGAGAAGTCGCCTCTCTGCTGTAAGAGTGTCTAAATGCTGACCACGGATGGAGAAGTCGCCTCTCTGCTGTAAGAGTCTCTAAATGTTGACCACGGATGGAGAAGTTGCCTCTCTGCTATGAGTCACTGAAAGCACATCATGGATGCAGAAGTCAAATAGGGTCTTGGAGAGCAGCTTGGACCCTGTCAAGTATTCAGATGCAGAATCTGAGGACCAGAGAGGGACAGCAGCTTGCCAAGGTCACACAGCCTTGACAAGGAGCACAGCTGGGTTCCTCCTTTCCATTTGATTCCTACCCCCTTGCCACCCTCCCTCCTCATCCTCAAGCCTCCTACCCTTCTCCCGATACTGCATGTGACTGCAGCGGGTTCTGTCCCCTAAAAAGATATGTCCAAGTCCTAACCCCAGGTACCTATGCAGGTGACACTACTTACAAACAGGGTCTTTGCACACATACTTAAGGATCTTGAGATGGAATCACCCTGGGTTTACGGTGGGCCCTAAATCCAATGGCCTGTGTCCCTAGAAGGCTGCAGACACAGAGGGAGGCTGCCCGGTGAAGCCAGTCACGTGAAGACGGAGAGACACAGCCACAGGCCGAGGGAAGCCAGGGATTCCCGGGAGCCTCCAGAAGCCAAGAGGGCAAGGATGGATTCTTCCCGAGAGCCTTAAGAGGGAGCATGGGCAGGAAAACACCCTGATTTTGGACTTTGGGTCTCCAGAACTGCGGGAGAGTCCGTTCATCTTGTTTCAAAGCATCTGGTTCGGGGTAATTTATTTGTGGCGGCAGCCCCGGGAAACTAACACAGACCAAACAGTTCTCTTGGCTCAGTTCTGCACAGTCCTCACTTTATCTCCTCAAATCCACTCCCACCCGACGGCCAGGGAGGGTCCCACTGGGCACCAGGCCTGGTCCATGGGGAGTGACCAAGAACCGTTTGCTGTCATTAACCACGATGGTTAATCACAATGATCTTCCCCGAGGCCTCTCCCACGGCAACAGCAACATCGATGGTTCCACACCCACTTTACTAAGACAAGGAAAACGGATTCAGAGCAGGAGCTGGGGGCGGGCAGACTGTGGGGCCGACACAGAACACGGAGGCGGGCTGGTGGCTGGGAGGGCCACATGTGGGCCTGGCTGAGGAGCCAGGGATCTGGAGTCAGAACCTGGAGAAGGCAGCTGGAACCCAGCAGTGGACTTGGAATTCCGCAAATGGTCCTCAAACGTCTTCAGCTGGAAGCGGCGGCGGCGGTGGCGCCTGCAGACAGGCGTGAGGAAGCTTCGCTGCTGAGGGTATTTCTCGGGCTGGGCTGATCTGGGAGGCCCAGGTCTTTGCAAGAGGAGAGCGCCTGAATACCGGCCCTTCAAGCTCTCTAGTCAGTCGGTCTTCGCCATCTGGCTCCTGAGGGCCGACAGTGTGATGAGGAGCTGGGCAGCGTAGTAGGTGGTCATGACCACCAGGCGGGCATGGGGCAGGGGCTGGACGAAGGTGTCCCAGGCCAGCACGCCATCAGAGAGTGTGAAGAGCAGCGCGCCCCAGCCGGCACTCCTGCCCCGGGCCAGGCCGCGCCACAGCATGGCCATCAGGATCAGCCCATAGGCTGCCACAGGCAGGCCCATATCCGGCTCAAGGTGCTGGAGCACAAGGCTGAGGTAGGGGCCAGAGGCCAGGATGATGAGCAGCAGCAGGCCAGGCTGCAGGGGAGAGAAGCCGAAGGCCCAGACGTAGAGAAGGTGGGTGGTGGCGAAGGCGGCCATGCCTGGTGGGAGAGGGGTGGGGTGCCAGTGAGGAAGGCCCATCCTGGGAATGGCCCCGAGGTCACCCCTCAGGGCCTAAAATAAGGGCCGTCCCAAAACACCAGGCCCCACCCTGGCCAAGCCTCCTTGCAGGCCTCCCCACATGCAGTGTCCATCCTTGCTCTGCTCAGAACCAACAGGAGGCCCCATCTTCTCTTGGCCTCCAAAGCCCCATGCCCTCCGGCTCACCAGCCACTCTGCCCGGTCACCCTGGCCTGCCTGGCCACAAGCACCTGGCACACCCGTCCCGGAGCCTTTGCACTTGCCCTTCCCCCACACAGGCACACAGCACCTTCTGCTCTGCCCAAAAGTGACTTCCCCAGCGACACCTTCCTCAGCAACCCTGCTTCAAACTGCAGCACCCCCAGCGGGTCCTCACTGCCCTTGCCACCCCCAGCTACTGCCCTACACCGCCAGCCCCCATCCCTCGCTGGAGCGTGAGCTGCCTCGGTCATGGCTGCACCCCCCACCGTGCCTCTGACCACCAGAGCTCTCACAGGAGCCCTCTGCACCGCAGGCTCCCATCCAAGTGCTGGGGCCTCCCTCACACGGGTATCCGGAAGGCGTCATGGCAGCTTCCGCTCACCAGGGAGGAAGGCTCCAGGCCAGATGAGGCAGGCGTCCCCCACTGCCGAGCACAAGAGGGCTCCCTGGAGGAGCCGGCTGTAGCCCCCGCCCGGGCACACGACCCACAGGAACCCGGCCAGGCCGAGGATGGGCAGGCACTTGACCAGGGCAGCGACCCAGGACGGCTGGTCCTCGGGAATCCAGAGGCAGAAGTACACGCAGCAGGAGAGGATGAAGGGGCTCAGCCACCTGCAGACATCTGGGCGCTTTGGGGAATGGGGAGCTGCTGAGCCGAAACCCAGCCCAGCCCCCGTTCTTGGGACTGAGATCTTGTGGCTCCTGTCCCACCCCTACCTGGGACCCCAGCTGTACAGGCTGTACCCATTCAGGGACCAGGCTGCCAGAACCCAGCTTCCCAGGGTCCCAACCAACTCAAGGACAGCAGCTCCCAGACCCACCGGCTGCTGGGGTTCCAGGGGCCTGGCCCCCAGCCCCAGGCACACCTCGGAAGGCTCTCACCTGGGCTGAGCAGCGAGTCTTCAGGGTCTGCCCCGCTTTGCCAGCGTCCATGCTGGCCTGATACCCCCAGAGCGACCTAATCTGGGAGCGAGTGGCTTCAGGGGGTGGCGGGGACGGCTCATGGTTACACGTTAACCCAAGGAGCGTCCTGTGGACTCTGTGACTGATAACAGGGCCCGGAGAGATGCTGTCCTCACCCCGGGGACGGCCTCGCCTGGCACCCGCTGATAAAGCACTGTTGGCATCGGGGGTCCCTCTGCCCTGCCTGCTGGGACATGGTTTCCTCCTCCTGTCTGCCTGGGGGGGGTGAGGCCCACAAATGCCCGTCCCCTTGTCCTGGGCCCAATCAGCAGAGATGGAGTGCAGAATTCCAACGGCCACCCCTTCATGAAAGCGGGGGAGGGGCTGGCTGGCAGGAGCACCCCTGGAGGGATGGGAAGGCGAGTCCGTCCTTCACTTGCTGCCCTAGCCATCTCCCTCCCTGCTCCACGAAACCTTCCCTCATTCTGCTCAACCCCACCAAGCTCTCATGGGCTCCACCACAAACACTGCTTCAGTGGGTGACGAGGAGGGACCACCATGAATGCGGCGAATAAGCACCCTCTCCTGTTAGCTGAGTGAGCCCCGGGTGACCTCCAAGCCGACTGCCATCCAAGTGAGGACACTGTCCTCATGGCCCGGTCCACACGCTCCGGTTTCCCAGCGCCGCTCACCCGTGCCACTCGCTGCACACCCAGCCTACATTTCCACCTTCCACCTGAAAGACTCAGACCTACTGGGCGCCAGAGCCCAGCCTCAATGCTGGGCTTGGTTACTGGGGGTAAGTGCGGGCAGGAGCAGGGATGTGAGCACGTCGGTGGCTTCTATTCTCTGCCCACAGGTGGGGTAGGCCTGGTAGGAGCCCTCACAGCCAGCGCCTGGCCCAGCCTGGGGCCTCTGCAGCCTCAGGCTTCCCCCTGGCAGGACGCAGTGCTGGGACAGACTGGGTCAGAAGCACCCCCAGCCTCTGAGGTGCAGGGATAACAGACTCCCCACCCCGCATCCCAGAACGTAAGGTCTGACCAGCAGAATCGTAAACTGTCTTCCTTTATTTATATTTGCAATATGAAATAGAAGCTCGGCACGAACGCACGCACACTCACACCAGCCTGGAGGAGGGAGCTGGGGACAAGGCCACTTGGCAACAGGGCTGGGACCCCAGACCCTCAAGGCCCCTAGGGGTGTTGCCGGGGAGGCCCCTGCTCCCCAGAGCCGGACTGGCCTGGTTGAAAGTGCAGGGTCTGGGCAAAGGCACGGCCCCCACTCGGGATCCTCTGGCACCCCCACCTGCGCTGGGCCGTCCCCCATGGTGGACCTGAGCTGAAAGGCCGGGTGTGGGCGTGGCCATCTGCGCTGGAGCATGGGACGGCTGGGCACGTGGGCGGCAACCTTGGGACCCCTAACACCAGCCCCCGCTGGGACGGAACGGGGAAGGCTGTGCTTTGGAGCCGCCAGCCCAGCTTGGTGTCCTCACTTTCTCTCGCTCTCCTCCCTCTCTCTATATATAATATATAATATACGTTTCTCTCTCTCCATTCTCTCTATTTGACTCTCTTTATCTTTATTCTAGGAGGCAATGCTCCAAAACTTCTCTTCTCAGTGCAAATGGGGGTGGGTTGGGCCTGTCTCCCTGACACCCGCCTCCTGGGGGTCCAGAGGAGAGAATGTGGGGGGTTCAGGGTGATGAGGGCACTGGGGGCCATCATGGGACCCGCCCTGCCCCCACCCTGGGAGATCCACGGAAGGACGGAAGATTTGGCCGCCGCTGCCGCACCAGGCAGCTATCTGGAAACAGAGGGAGACGTCGTGTGAGGGTCCAGCAGGCCCAGCCCCACCTACCCAGCCCCAGGCTGCAGCCACACTCACTGGGAGCCTGGGGATGCAGGCCCTTCCGGGGCAGAGCCATTGGGTATCGGAGGAGGCGTGAGGGCCTGGGCACTGTCACGGGAGAGAGGGGATGTGCAGAGGTCACTTCCTGCCCCACCAGCCCTGCCGCGCCCCGCTGCCCTGGTGCTCACCTCTGGCTTTGGGGAAGCCCCAAGGGCTCTGGGCTCTTCTCCCCATCTGTGGTCTGGGGGCGCTGGTGGGCCCCGGAGGCTGGGACAGAGGTAGCGGGGTCTCTGGTTGCACTGTGGGTGAGGAAAGTGCGGCTGTCAGCGTGGCCCCCACTGTCACCTGCTGACACCCTCACACCCCAGACGACTGCAGTCGGCTCACTGGGTGTGTGTCTGCCACCTGCCCCACCAGGAGGGGCCTCCCAAGGACTCAGCTGGCTCAGCGTGGAGGGATGGCATGGCCCTGGGCAGGAAGACAAGCAACCCTCTTCCCGCCTCCTGTCCCTGTGGAAGAGGCACTCGAGGCCAGCTGAGACAGCCCCAAGGGGCCTTCTGCATGCTCTCACCCTCCCAATCCTTCACACCCTCCAACGAGCCTTTCCCAACCCTGGGGCTCAAGGGCCCCAAGCATCCCAGGCTACTAAGAGAAGAACCAGCCTACAGAGTGCAGGGGCCAGGGCACAACATGAGGCTAGGCCTGGGGGTCCTGCCAAGGAGACCTGGAGCAGCTCAGGGACAAGATGAACCCAGAGCCCACCTCACCGTGGAGGAGAAAAGGCTTCTCCTGACACGCGGCCCTCACCTTAGCAAGCCCCACCTCGCCGCTCACCTGTCCGAGGAGTTGGGGGCAGAACGGATCCCGTGGAAGGTGGCCTGAAGGTCCCCGATGCTAACCAAGGCCTGGCAGGGGGCTGTGGGGGATGAGAGATCTCAGCTGCAGCCTCCCAGCAAGCTCAGAGCTGGCCAGGCTGCTCTCTCTGCCCAGGGCCACAGGTGGGCAGGGCAAACTGGGGCTCACCTGAGGGCTCTATGACTTTGCTGCCTTCTGTGGCTTCCTGAGGTGCTGAGGGGGGTGTGGGGTCCTGAGACCTGGCAGATGAGAGGCAGCCCAAGGGGGCAGCTAGGGTTAGCACTCGAGCCTATGAGAGGACTGGGACCCCATGGCCACCTCCTGGTCTCGGGATACCAGCGCCATCCAGCCCGTCCCATCTGGTTCTCACCTGAGCTGCAGGGCATCACGGGCAGGAGGGCTGGCCAGGTCCTCGGTGGGGAGGTCCTGGGACACACTGAGGGGTCCCTGTGGGGCTGGAGGCCCAGTGTGCAGCTCTTCCTCCCTGGAGACTCGGGGGCTGGTCGGGGCATCTGTAGGCACTGGGTCAAAGGTGGCTGTCCAGCTGGGGCCTGGGATGGAGTTGGGGGAGCGGCACAGAGGGTGAACTCGGTAGCAGGCAGACAGCCCAGTGTACACCTGACCACACCGCCCATTCATTCACCTGGAGGCTGAGGGCCAGGGCTGGGGTAGGACATGGGGGTGGCCCCTCCACGGGCTGCACAGCCAATGCCCTCCTCGTCTTCCTCCTCCTCCTCGTCCTCCTCTTCTTCATCCTCACTGTCTGTGCTGCCTCCACTCCTGCCCCAGAAACCGCCTCGTCAGCTAGCTGTGTGGGACAGACCAGCCGACACCCATCCCGTTCCCTGCGGCCCAGGGCCAGCCCGAGGAGAGTGGGCTGGGATGACCGGCAGGTCACAGAAGGGGTCAGGGAGTTTGGGGTGTGGTGACACCAGGAGAGGCTGGGAGAGTTCTGAGCCAAAGGTGAGAACACAAGCGGGCAGGGACAGAATGAAGCCGTAAGGAGACCATTCGCCCCCAATCTTCCATGCAGAGTAGGCCCTAGGAAGTGGGCTGAGACTCAGCCATGGCAGCCAGAGCAGACAGACCCACTCACCAGCTCTCAAGTCACCTCCCAGCTGTCACCTCACACTGTCACCACAGTGACAGGCCTTCCCACCAGCAGCCCCACCCTCTGGACGGAAGGCTTCACACTACTCTCTCTCTCCCTCCAACTAGAAACTCCAAGAAGGCAGAGATGGCTGACTTTTGCCACTGCTGTATCCTCAGCCCTGAGAAACCACCAGGCACCCATAGCTGCTCCAAAAATACTGGCTGAATGTTGACTAACACACACCTGTGAACATGAAGAAATCCAAGCAATCTATGTGCTGATCAACCAGGAAAGGGGTAAGCAAAGTCACATTAAAACTAAGCTTTAACAGGGAGAGTGCGTGCTGGAAAATGCAGCATTAGGAGATTTTACTATCGTGTGAACATTCTAGAGTGCACTTACACACACCTGGATGGGAGCGCCTACTACACACCTAGGCTCTATGGTACAGCCCTATTGCTCCTAGACTACAGACCCGTACAGCATGTTATGGTACTGAATACTATAGGCAATTATAACACAATGGTAAATGTTTGTGTATCTAAACATAGGAAAGAAACAGTAAAAACAGAGTATTATAATCTTACAGGACCACTGTCTCATATATGGTCCATTATTGACCCAAAGATGCAGTATGGGACTATATACTATGTCTAAAATGCTGACTAAATATTTTTGTCTTAACAGAGTAACTGACTACTTTAACTGGAAAGTAATATATCTGTATATAGTTAAAAGTAAACGAAAACACTCAATGACCAAGGAGTATAAAGGAAGCCCCTCAACCTAATACAAGGCATCTGTCCAACCCCACGACTAACAGCACACTTAAACGGTGAAAGGCTGCATGCTTCCCCTAAGATCAGGAACAAAACAAGGATGCCTGTTCTTGCCACTTCTGTTCAACATTGTACTGGAGGCTAGCTAGGCAACCAGGCAAGAAAAGGAAATTAAAAGCATCCAGATTTGAAAGGAAGGAAAATGATCTCTATTCACATGACATGATTCTGTACCTAGAAAATCCTAAGGAATCCACTAAAACTATAAGAATTCATAAATTACTTCAGCAAGGTTGCAGGATAATAGATCAACATACAAAAACCTATTGTATTTTCATACACTTGTAACAATCTGAAAACAATTTCAAGAAAATTCCAATTACAATAGTATCAGAAAGAAGAAAACAGGAATAAACTTAAAAGAAATACAAACCTCATACTCTAAAACCTACGAAACACTGTTGAAAGAAATTTTATGACCTATATAAACAGACACCCATGTTCATGCATTACAAGAACCCTTTAAGAAACTTAGCTGGTTTCTTCTTTGAAATTAATAAGCTGATCCTAAAATTCATATGGAATCTCAAGAAATCCCAAATAGGTCAAAACAATCTTGAAAAAGAAGAACAAGGTTGGTAGACTGAAACCTTCCATTTTCTTTTTTTTGGGAGATGGGAGTTTCCTTCTTGTCACCCAGGCTGGAGGGCAATGGTGCAGTCTCAGCTCACTGCAACCTCTGCCTCCCAGGTTCAAGCGATATTCCTGCCTCAGCATCCTGAGTAGCTGGGATTACATACAGGAAACCACCACCACACCCGGCTAATTTTTGTATTTTTAGTAGAGACAGGGTTTCGCCATGTTGGCCAGGCTGGTCTCAAACTCCTGACCTCAGGTGATCCACCTGATTGGCCTCCCAGAGTGCTGGGATTGCAGGTGCAAGCCACCGTGCCCAACAAACCTCCCATTTTCAAAACTTACTATAAA